ATACTCATCTCAATGAATCTCGACTGTATTGGAGGAGGAGATTTTGCCTATTGTTTTGGGATTTGTGTATATATTGGTTAAGGTTGACGATTTTTGCGGACACAATTCAAAGCTTTAATCTTAGCATTTTACGAATTTGATCTGGCTACCACGTGACTTCTCACAGCTAGACGTAACTCCACGATGTGGGTCATGCTTTTCACACCCTGGGGTTAACAATTAGAGGGCTTTTCAGTAATTTGGTAGTAGTTGCTGGGCTGCTTATTAAATCCACTCCGTGTATGTCATGTTTCCTTATTTTCTGGATACATACATCTGCGTCTCTGTAAAAAAGACGTGTTAAGGCATGTCCCTCAAGGCATTTTTCGATAGGCCGAATGAAGAACACCGGAACGGACGAATTGGATGGCGCCAAACCTTCCGACAGCCGACATTCAAAGCGTAAATGGAGCATTGCATCGCATACTACGGCTTGTCAACCACTTAGTGGAAGTTGATTTCAAAGAGTAGTAACAACGCCTACATTTTCCACTGCAAAAAATTACAATTTACCAATTCGGCGTTGTAGTTAAAACGTTATATGCATTCTTTGTCCAACTTTGCTAATGACTTGCTTTGTAATCCATTGATATGCTTAAATCAAACATTTGAATCATTTACAGTGTCACAGACTTGAGTCCGATTCGTCAGCGTAATTACTTTAGCTTTCATATCGTACACGAAGCACAAAGGTATTTAGGCTGACCACTGATGTAGAAGCCTTACTTTGTGTTTAACCTAAGCTTGCATACTGCCTCCTGTTCGTCGGAAATGCAAATGTGTCCTTTTTATTTGCCCTTTTCCCCTGAAGGAGGCGACACCCCAGCCCCCTCGAATACGAAGGCTGTAATACGGAATTATTAGTTTAAGTTAAGAAAAGCTGTTGAATAAAATTGAAAATGGGGAGATTTACAATGTTAGTGGGCATCGTGTCCTTGCAATTATCCGGTGTCAAAATGATCTTGGCAGCATGACAACGCGAGGGTTTTCGACCAACCTGACTGTTTAAAATCAATAGCAAGCGTTCTAGCTGTCAATGCCACAGGAATAAAGATAAAAACAGGGCATGCTTGACCTGACCCGCCACAGAGATTTGCATGAGTCGAGTCAGTCCACTTCGGTTTGTGTATGTATGTGTTAACGGCCTCATCAGATGTCCGAATGCGAATTCGCATTCAAACTCACTCAACAAACAGAACTTCAGTTTATTCAACATACTTAATGCCAAACTTCGGCAGTGGAAGAAAATAAGTTATTGTGGACTTCTGAAGAAAATCCTGGTTATCAAAGAATTGTTTTGTAATTTTGAGTAGATATTAGGAGGTGGAAAAATAACCGAAAAGGAATGCAAAAGGAGTCATCACTTATAAAGTGGAACATTGGTGGCTCCAGAAGGTAAATTGTTGAAGTTAGAAGTGCAGTGCGGGGCTTATCTTCCATGGTTTCATATTTGTTAATCACATGTAGCCAAAATCTTGCTCAAATCACCTAGAAGGGCTTTAGACAATTGTGGCTTTCTGCATACTTCATTCGATTTAGTTCAATTGTCCCATAACTGAAGTTAAAGAATTGGGTAAAAGTAAATCACTGGACCTAATGTGCTCACTTTGGCTCCAGCTGATGCTCAAATGAACACTGCAGGGCCTTGTAGTGCCTTTAAATGCTCTTCGTACCACTAAATGCTGTGAACAAGGCGAGTCTATCGAAAACGAAACAACCGACTAACTGTTGTACGGATGAGCTTAAAGATGCTTTTGAAATAGAATTCAGAGAACGAGGAAAAACAAGATTGCTACAGTGATTTGGTGGCAGTATCACAACATCACTGTCCTGCTGGGAAAATCTTGTATAAATTGCCATCAGTCATGCACTCCAGAGAGGCAAAGCGCTTATTTCTCTGGATATCGAATCGGTCGGTTAGATAATCTTTTTGACATCTGCTTATTTTCATAAAGTAGGTCTGCACTACACTGCAAAGTTGACCTAAACTAGATGGACAACAATATCCTTTACTGGCCAATTTTGGCTGTGCTGCCCTTTGATGCATACATTCACACATGTGATAGTTGTCGGCATTTTCTTCCAGTTACCCTGCCCTGCCCAAGTTTCTACGCTCATTTCCTCTTATTGTTCGTGTTTTCTCCCGATATTTTGCTGAGTTTTGAATATCGCTTTACTCTTCTAGAGCCGTTTTTTCTTTATATGAATTATAAGAATCTGTGCTACCTTATTAATGCATTTTTACTCTTCCTTATTTGTTAGTAAGCCTTTCACTTCCATTTAAGTTTTCCAATGAGTCCATCCTTCCATCATTATTCAGCGCTTTTATTTTGGCACCAATAGGATGGCTTAAATCGGCAATCAGGGCTGTGTATGAAAACAGATTTACATATTTGAAATACCCCTCAATATCTTCTAGTTTCATACAAGTAATCACCCCAATCTTCTTCCTCTCCTTCTTCTTGGAAACAGTTGTTCTCCCAACGTCCAGGTCACTATTCCCTACTATGGTTAAAGGCAAACGAGAAGAAGGTACGCCTTGCCAATGGCCGAGGCTGCTTTCATGCGTTGAATGTTTTCAGTCTTTAAGGCCTGGCAGATAGCAATTGCGGCTGGGTGAGCAACATAGAGGATGAAGATTACTTTTTCTCAATGGTCATTAGAGCTATCCACTGGGCGTAAATTGCGTAAGTATGCTCTACTGGGATCCGCTACGGGATCAAAATGACATCCCGGAAAGGTCTTGAACGGAAAAGGGAATAAACTAAATGGTTGAACAAGCTGTCTTTTGTATTAATTAAACCTCTATTAACGGTTGAGTGAATATTTTTTAGCCTTTTGCAGTCTCACGTGTAAATTGTGAGTGGGTTTCCCAAAACACTCTACCTGTTACACTTCTGAGATGGTATCTATTGAGCATTTTCACACTACGATTTTTCAGTCAAGGTTATTATGTCCTTGAAAAGAATTGAGACGAAAGGGGAAATTTTCAGCTTTGGGAGAAGCGGAAAATCTGTTAATTAAAATTATATGAGATTTTGGCCGTCACTGCATTGACAAAAAAGAGATGCATGTTTGATGCATTTAATCAGCTTAAACCTAGGCTTGTCGGCTTGTCAGCGGTCGGTATTGGGTTGGATGGGCAGCACTGACGGCACTCATCCTTGTGGTGCTGAATATGAGGGTAGATATTGATACAATGTTAGAAGGGACGACAAGGAGTCTTCCTGGTCTGGGCGCCAGAATTGAAAGATTACGGTAGAACTGGCTTGGTTCGGCTCAACTGAACCCTCCTCCGTTAAATTAACACTTTGCATAAATTTCAGAGCAGCCTTACTCCCTAAACTGGTCGAAAGCAATGTCACGTTTCAAAATAGCTGCCATTAGCTTTCGAGAGCGATTGAGGAAAGGGTTATTTTCGGTTTTAATTGCAGAGGAATCCGTCGACGTTCTCAAATGTCGGCTGATGACTATACGCATCTTGTGCAACTTAAAATGCTAGCAATCACAATTTACTTTCGGTAATATCAAGTTGTCCATGTTTAATTCCTCATGATTACTTCCAAGCACTTCTTACTTTTACTGCGTGCTGAATCAAGATTACTACTTAATGTTACGCTGGCTTAGGCATTTCACCATCTCATAAAACACATGGTAGCAGTCAGGTAAAAGGAATAAAGCAAAAACTGTTTGACTTACTATTGCCACTTTGGCATATTCCTAAATACTTGGACCGAATTTCAAGCGCAAACCTGCGGACAACATCCCATGTAGCCACTAGTGAAACCAGACCAGATGTAATATGTATGGGACAAATATTCACGTAATTGCAAAATGAAGGTGTGGTTTAACTGTCCTTTTCCACCTTTACCCAAATGGCAGAAAATTCGAACAATCTGAATCAGTCGGATGACTAAGGTGAGTAAGCAACGATGGTTCTATCAACACCTACTAAAAGCTTATACGGATGTCAAAGAGAACCCTCATGGATGCATAATTCAGTTTCTCACCCTTCCAATGCTACTCGAAACCAATACACGTACATTGATTGATATCCATCACCTGTCTCTGTTAGTCTCAACTAAGAACACACGTGAGAAGACCGCTAATGGTTGGAAAAAATCTTGGGTCAGAAACGAAAACATTCATAAAGAGCCAAAGCGAAATGACAGGGTAATGGGAGTCGAGGTTAAGGCGATCTGATATAAATCCTCAAGTCATATCGGACCCTCCAGTGCACAATAAATTCCACTACCTCTAAAACACGGTGGAATTCTGACAGATCCATGTTACCTTTACCCACTTACCTCCTCTGACTCCACTGATGGCTTATAACACAGTCCCAGGGCTATTTAGAATATAAACAGTTAACTATAGCAAAGTTTTCCACATCGAAGCCTGTGTTTAGGCCTAGGAGTGGATTCTCCCTGCATAATTGCTTTGAAGTCAAATTCTTAGCCTCTTATAAATGGAAGGCGACCATGTAAATTAGCATTCTTTCTTAACTAGTTCATTTTGCAAGACGAGGAAAATTATTCTTATAAAACAGTCAAGTTTGTACCCGCGCTTTCATTCTGTGCGTACAGAATTTTTCAAAAAATGGACGGGAGTGCAGCTTTAATGCAACGTTTTCTGGCTTCAGCATTTGGATTATTTCGAGTAGAAGTGAGAACAAGAACAAGTATACGAAGGAGCATGCTCTTTCTGCACAAGACGTGTGAGGTTTGACAGACACACTAGGAAATACTGTGGTCATGGCACCATCTTCCTAAGCAGTTTCATCCAAAATAATTGCTAAGTGTTAGGCACCCAGAGTGTCGTCTGAAGATGTAATAAGCTAGACCAATAAGGGGATAGATTTTTTCGAAAATGCAGAAAGTGTGGAAAGCTGCAGGAATAGTTATGCTGTCCAGTAGAGGTGCGGCCTCCGAAGATTGAAGAATTCGATCAAATGTATGTAAATTAAAATAAATGCCACATTACTGCTTGGGAGTGCTAACAATGTGACTAAATGTTAAGCATCACATCGGCGACAAGTCCTACTCATTACATAGCCTCTACTCTGAAGGCAAAGCTTACTAATAGTTCTTTAAGAAAATTCCACGATAAATCAGCATCCGTATAATTCGACTTGTGTGTAAAAAGACTGCTTAATGGTTCAGATTTGTGTGATTTCTTACTACAGCCTATTTCTTTCATAGCAATGAGGGAAACAAACTAAAACAATATGGTTGCTTTGGGTGAAATACCGAAAATATACGTACATGTATGTACCAAATAGCACAATAAACAATCCTGCTCAACATTTGCAATCTGGTCTCAACTTCAGCATCTCACTTGTCTACATATGCCATGAAATGTGACAAGTGCTTTTGAGATTTGACAGGAGTGTCTGTGAATTTGCTAATAAATTTATGCATCCATTACACCAAATTCAAGAAACGCCTCAAAAACAGATGGCTTGGCGTTGCAGATGTTTACTTTGGGGCAAAAGTTGACGAGGGGAGAAAACAGCTTTCCACAAATACTGATTAAACAATGGATTTAAAGCCTAGGTTGCAGTTTAGAAAAAATTCTACCCAGATTTTCCTTTACAGCAGTTTCGAATGCAGTTACATTCGCCTCTTTTTTGCACGCAATGCTGCTTGATGAAATGGGTTTGGTTAAAACAAAGTGGAGGGGAAGGAGACAAAAGCGTGTTGCCGACACTTGTTGTCGTTTCGTCTCAATCGGCTTAGATTTATCATTTACCTGATCACACGGAAGACGTATTCTTTTAGATTTGAGGTGTACGCCACTCAGTGAGCTGTTCCCACTTTGCTACAAGAATTCATACAGACTGTTCAGCGACCTCAGTTGTAATTTTCGAAGGGGACTGTGATAACAGTTGCAGAGGTTCTGCCGCACTGCCACAAATTGACACTTTGCTTAATGAATTAAAACGCGGTTTTGCTGTGCCAGTGGGCCATGGAGAACAACGAACGATTGTGCATAAAATGCATTTATTAAGTGTTCTCCAATCTAATGAATGAACTTTTTGTTGCACTTTAATGCATCACACCAGAGAGATGATGGGATATTTTCAAAAATAATTACTCAGGACTTAATTATTACATAAAGTTTGCAAACAAAATTATTTTTGCAGGAATACTGGTGCCAGCAGAAGCCTGCTACTCATCTCCCTCGATTTCAAGCATCCTCCATTTCCTCGTATATTTCGAAGTCTTCCTCTGGGGACTACCGAAAATGGTACGCTTCATCTTTATTCGTCGTAGACATCGCAGTTTTCGCATCCCCCGCAGACCCCACGAGTGTGCTAAGGGCAAATTGTTACGGCACGCACGATTGCGTTGTTCCAATGTACACTTTGCTCTAACATATCGTTCGGTGAAAAAGAATGGACTACTCACAATTTATCAGCGATTTGCTTGTAACACTCCCTACTCGCATCACTAAGTCCCGTGAGTGTGGAAACAGCCGCATATGTGGAGGCGGCATTTTGTTTGGTCACATTTTTGTCTCCCGAATTGTCGCATATCTTGCCTGATGACTGCGCAGCGTCATCAGTGACAACTTGTCCATTTTCGAAGGCAGTAAGGGTGTCACCAGAACTTGACCCAGCTGAATATGAAGACTTTATCAACAGCACCCTCTGCGAAGGACACAAGCATTGCCATGGTTCCTCAAGTGACTTGCTACTGGTGATGGAGCGCAGCGTTCGTAATACGGGAGTGTTGATGGAGCCCTTTTCCATTATGCGGCTAAAACAAGAGTAACCTCTCCTCTAAGATCTGATTTCTTTGTAAAAATTTTGCCAAAATCTAAAGAAAACCGAAAAACTGTGTAGTCTAGGCTTGCAGCATAAACAGGAAGACCAAAACTCACAGAACTGATTGACTTCCACTTAAAAAGACCCGCGCTTTCTAATCAGAGCTAGAAGAGGCTTAGTGCATATTAAAACAACACAGTAAAACCGATCACTAAAAAGCACACTTTTATGAATATGTAAAATAAGCTTACGCGTTCAAATAGAAGTTAAACAATATAATATTTGAGAATGCTGACACTATTCAAAGGGGAATTTGAGGACCAAATGGGAAGTGGGCTAGAGGTAATAGTACTGCAAAAAGTAACAATTTGGTTGAAACTAATTTATCTACTTTTAGTTACCTTACCTGGAATTGTACCGGCTCCGTGAAGAGCACTATAGCTTTTTTTGTGATACGTCATGCAGATTCTCATCCATTTGCTGAATCGACTATCGTCTTAGTCCCACAAATCGAGATGAAATCATAACATCAATCTATTGCCGACTTTTCCACCGGAAAGGGCCATTGAAATAAAAACCTACCTTGAAGTGGTTGGCAATTGACTCCATCTATTTTATGAGCTAATGACTGCATAAGTACTCAGTTTTTGTAAAACTATTTGGTTATCTCATTTATGCTCCATCTCCTTCACTAACTCCTTTTTGCAGGTATCGGATTGTCCCGTTGCAAAGCTAGTTTATTATGATTCATAGCACTAAAACATATAAAGAGTCAAACTTGACTTAGTTTTTTTCAGGAAGGTAACCGTGCTATATGGCTAACATCTATCCCCTGTCATTCAATAACTGGACCAAGGGTTTGCCTTAAGACTTATGCAGACGTGGAATTGCAGAAAAACTACTTTTCAAATTTAACGCGTGACAGGTATTAGAGCCGTAGTGAAACCGGCCGCCAAAGCAGTCAGTCAGGCAGGTGAATTTCGTATTGAGTAAATCAGCACTTATCTCGGGGGTAAGCACCAACAATAAACAAGCCAATTTGGCATTGTCAAATGGGGAAATCTTGTGTCTTTCTATAAACGTGACATGGTTCAGCTAGGATATGCGGCTGCATATACATCACAAGACTCGCATTTAAGCTCAATGTCTAGTGGTGTTATCTTTGTGTGAAATGGTAGGCAATAGCTGGACTCGATACAACTGTCAAAGATCATATCGTTTTCTTTAAAAACAATGCATAGGCCCCGAATATCCAGTTTGTGATGGGGACTCTACATTTGTGATTTTACTCAAAGTGCATTGCAACAGTTGAATCCAAGGCCTTGTCTCATTTTGCTTGGTCCTAAAACATTACAACTGTTAGAAACGTAGAGTAATTAAGTGGGTTTCGTGCAAAATTGGCCATTGAAGGCTTTTTTTAACATTTGAAAGAGACTTGGAGTTGAGTCGCCGATGATACATAACAATGGTGAATCATTCAATACAACGATTTTTTGCTGCTGCACCCCCAATGGTGTCAAAAGCGGGGGATTGGATGTTAAACACTGTGCAATAATCCAAACTACAGCACAATGCAAAACGCGCTCCGACATTTAGAGCACTGTGTTGCACAAATAAGTTGGCCAATGTAGCGCGGCAATTCACCGAAACAGGTAATTAGACACTAAAAAATTGCATCAACGTTGAATATGCTCTACGTAGAGGTTTACTATGATAACCTAGATAGGGAGCGCTACCACCCATTCCATTGATTTTATGACCTACACATCACTTCCGACCTACCAAGGCCGATTGTTACAAGAAGTTTACATTTGCTTGCATCAAATACATGCATATGTAATGGGCAGCCGAGTCCATGATTTCCAAAACAAATCGTCTTACAGTAATAGATGCACGGGTGGATTCACCTAAGTACTGAAGGAGTTGCCTTTATTTTAGTCTGTATCTGGGGCATTGTACCCCAAAATGGAGTTGTTTAATGATGAGCTGCGCCTTTACGGAGGATAGTTAAGCACTTGAAAAATTGAATCAGTGTTGAATGTCTTCTGTGTGGTGATTTGTCACGACAATTTCGTGATTTTTAGACATAAACATCACTCTTGAGCTTCAAAGGATGATTTATTGCACAACGTTTAGTTTTGATTGCATGTAAACGTGCTCCTATTTACGGGCCGCCAAGCCCATGGTTATCAAATCAATTCTTGTATTCATAGCTACAAAGATAGATACAGAAGGTGGTGAAGAAGTTGTCTTGCTTTTAGCCTGTACTCACCACCGCTAACAAACTGACCACTTAACTGTCTTTAGTTCAATTTCGACTCATGCGATGTATGGAAACAATCGAATGAATTCTGATATATCTAGACAAAACAAATGCTTCTACATCACTTGCTTCCCTCCTCCTTACCTTCTTCCCATCTTTTGCACAATGTTCTAAAATAAGTGCATTTGCATTTGCCTGAGCACATCTGCCTTTTAAGCACTACTGCACTATATGGACACTGATTTCTATGATGCTTATGGACTGGAACCTAAGAAAGCTACATTTTGACGACGTATATGAAATTTTCATTGACCGATTGATAAATCAGCTTCATCTGATTGAGATATTGACACAAGCTAGGATTACGACTTCGTTCGATCTACGGAGATAGCTACACAATCTCCTGCTCACATTACAATTAGCATAATAAAGGCTCCCTGCAGGCCAGACGACAAAGTTGCGTTAGAATCATAATTTAAATGAAATGACAAACTACTGAAGTCAATAACGCCTTTGATAGCACCGAAATTCGTTGCCAACACAAAATCTTGGATGCATTTCAATTGCCTCATACATTTTTCACAAAGTGAACCCGGAATATTCCTAGAGTATCCAGTTTTAAGTCGAAAATTTAATAAGGGAATCAGAAGCATGAAGGAATCGAGTAAGCTCAGAAATCAGTTATGGGATCAAACCTTCTTTTCTTCCCAGTAATCTAGAGGAGGTGTGTTTATTGGACATGTGTGCGCATGTATAGTCAAAGAAGTTGGAAAGATTTAAACGCGGTAGTCGGTTATACAAAAATTTATGAATTTCATCCAGTTGTTACTGGCCCCTTTTTTCTTCCTTTCAAATAGCAGTGCAAGCTTCCACAGCAAATGATAAAAATGCAATTTAGACCTGGTTCTATTTGGTGTTTGACTAGCTAGAACATGTAGTTGGCGACTAGTCTTTACAATTCTAACGGATCGCGCTCTTGACCATGTCCTCCTGACTAGTTCGTAGGAAGCAGCGATGTACTCAAGGAAGTAGGCATTACTGACAGCCACTCGAAGACCAAAGTCTATCAGTTATCGTAAATTCATGTGAATGAACTCGCCGACTCCGACACATGCGCTAGCATCGACTCAGTGTCAAAATTTCGATGTTTAAGTATTTGCACAACATACACAACCATATGATGCATAAATTAGTAACTCTGTCTCATCGGTTTAGTAATAGCATGAATATGTCTACTGCTCGCTTAGAAACAGGGACTCGCCTTAGTGGTTTGAATAAATGATCACAGTACTACAACTGGTAAGGACGAAATAGAAGGCTTGTGCCTATAGGAAATGACAAAGAGTTGGAATAGCTCAGGTAGTCTTGTTTAAAATTTGTCCAATTCTTGTAGTAACGGAAGAAAGGCGTAATCCATTCGCTCAATGAAGATACAAACATGCAGAGTGTGGTTTTTGACTAAATAGTCACCAGTACCGTTACCTCAGTTGTCAAGTTAATTTCATTACTCAAACTATCGCAACAAAAATTACCCCCGATACTTAAGCACCTTGAATTAGCGGCCGCTGATTCTGCTTATTTAGTGAATGGATGTGTGACCGGGGTAGTCTGGCGCTATCTAGATTACAAAAGGTTGTGTGTTATACGCAGCATTGAAAGACATTGTTTTTCCTGTAACAGCATACATTAGTTTATTTAGGCAGTGTAAATTTCCAAAACTATATTACGAAGTGTGTAAGTGTAGGAGGTGATCAAAAAGTATATTTGATCCTTACACAGTACCATTAATAGAGCAATCCTCAAGCAAACCTGGGGTGAGGATAATCAAAAAATAACTTTTTACACAGTACATGTTGTCGAATAATTGCATGCTGAATAGTGGATGCTACCAGCCCTCATAATAGCTTGAGGATGTACCCAAAAGTAATTTACTTAAAAAGAGTTATTTCCACTTTTTGGAAAAAGGCACAGCTTTTACTAATCTTGCGCCACAAATGTACCTAAAATATCAAATAATTACCAAAGCGGTAGAAGATCCATTTAAAACAAGACTACTGACACCATATTTATAAGTGAAATCACGGTTTCCTTCCAATTCCATTTATTAGCAATCCCTTAAATGTGGCCAAAAGCACAGAGTCTAGCTTTCCGCAGTAGACTTCTCGGCGTTTCTAGCCTTCAGAGCATTCTCAATCATGTTGCCGATTGAGTTCCCCTCCCTCATCTATTCTTCGCTCACAACGGCCAAAATACAATGCGTCGGCTCAAACTGTCCTCTAGGGAAAGAGTCTTAGTGTTCCAGTAGGCCAAATAAACAAAAGAAATAAATACAGAAATTGTAAATTTGCAAATTTGGGTCTAATATGGCAATGGTCATGCTATTAGCTGAATTCAAATAGCCATGGTTTTATAATGGGAGTAATGCAACTTTCAGTATCCATCAGTCTCAATCAACTTTGTGCTTTTCCCCAAAGTCAAGCTGCTTAGATTCGAATGGATACCATACGCAGCCAATGCAGCCAACCGATGAGGAGAAAACAGATTTCGTAATGCAAATGGTTAGACAATAAGGAATGCGGAAAATACTTTAGCATGCAGACCATGGTACATGGGGTTGACTTGAAGTCTGGACCTCTAAGCTGTTCAGGTACGCAACTCGGTCTCATGCCTTTTTAAGGCCACTTATTAGTTCTTTCATCCAGCAATTTCGTCTACCTGTGCTCAAGTAGAAGACAGTGGAAGGCTTGGCACCGCTCAGTTACTAAAATAGGCAATAAGTCACAGTTTAATGCTAGCCATTGGGAATGGAATCAGCTCTATTTCACACCACCTAAATAGTTTTTAACGCTACCACCTTATTTTAAAGCATTAAACTAGATGAATGGATAAATAAGCAATTTTTTCATGCAAAATTTTACACTTTCCTCGTGCATTTAAGTATTTTTAGACCAAACTTTTGATCCTTACCATGTTTGCTACAAACACTACAATTGTGTGAAGTTTAACATTGATTGCTTCAGCTTTGCACTACAGGTACAAGACACATGTGCCTTATAAGTTCATTTCAAATGAATGCACAAAATCGCATTTTACAAGACGACAAGTTTAAAATTTAGCTGTTCAAAGGGCAAGTGCAATTCTCCTTTTTAAAACGCGTGATGAATATTTCGTTTTGGTAGGGTATATGTTCATGTCCTATTAGGACAATGCGACAGGTGGGTTAAGATGCCTAATTTTCCTCTGAGACTTCTGTAATTATCAAGCTTATTGATATCGCAGCAGTCCCACATATCAGTACTGACAGGAAAACTTGACGGCCGAAGTGCTGATTCACTCCATAGTCGAAATGAATCGCTATCTTGCGGCGCAACTTTTTACGCAGCACCATAACCATTTGCACTCTCCAGAGGGTGTCTTTGTTCCATATTAATACGTTTAAATCAAAAGCAACCATTGCTCCTATGAGACGATTGATGATTATACTGATGACAACTTACAAAACAATACAACACTGGCTGTCAGTAACGTAAAAAATACTAGTTTAGGTCAAAATCATTGCTGACAAAATAACGGTCTTCTAAGCAACATCTACAATTCCATTTGGTAGTAAGACACTACCGACAGGAGACTATTCCATAAAGTTGTCTTATAGCTTTAGACGAAACACTGATTTTTGGCAAGACAGGTAGACACAACTACCACCAAGAAGAATTTGCCTGTGGGCTAAAGAGACGAGATCCATTTTTGAGTCCTTAAATTGTCTAAACTAAAAACCGTGGACAGTGGTCTTGTTGAGCACGCTGTCAGTCACAAAAGCCAAATCCATTGAACAGGCCTTCGTAAACAACGGACATAATCAACATGAAACGGCGGAAAGGTGGAAAACACGATCTCCATTCGGCAGCAAGAACATGAGAGATGTTTGAAGAGACCACATTCAATGCTGCAGCAAATGCTAAATCCCACTGTCCTGACTTTTTAACCCATGTCTTAATCCATAACCACTTACTACGGACATCGATGCGGCCGTATGAGGCGCACTCTTATGACAAGACAAGCTTATTCCTGCAAACAGGGAAGGATACTGATGCCTACGCCAAATTGAATAAATGGATGAGATGTAAAAGCCCTCCACTTCCATACGTTCAAGTCAATCTGAACTTTGTAGAACACCTCCTCAAACAATATTTAGTTGCATATGAGAAATGAAAATAACCACCAAATTAGTTGAGCACATATAGGCTGTCGTTGCCACTGACTACATTTAACAACTGAATTCAGCGGCATTACACCATCAAGAGTTAATTAGGTCCCCTTGCATTACCTATGCAATCGATCCTTGAGAAGTACAAATTACTGGTTTGCAACTCATGCAGAGAATCAAGTCATGCAAATTTGTGACCCAAAACGCCTTGAAATCTGCTTAAATATTCATTTAAAATTGTGCCGCAGTCACATCGGTTGGTGAGCGCTTTGATGATGAGATCATCGATGCTTGGCAACTTGGTAGGCGTTTCTTCTATTCTACATTATTCACCTTCTCTTTAGTATAGTGCGACTATTTTCTACAAAGAAGGATCTCACACTTTAAATCAAATTGAGCTCTTACGTAATGTACGTTGTAATTTCTAGCAACGCAACTATTGGGTTTGACAGAATACTTTCATCACAATATCTTCTTGGCTAGACAGTAAAGTGATGCCTTTCAGCTGCATAATTGCAAGTGCCCATAATGAAGAGCAAAGAAATGAATTATTTTTGCGAAAATGTCAAACTTAGTAAGCACTTAAGTGCCCATAAATTATGCATCAGCCATTTATCCACCAAAAAGCGAGTTCCCATATTTTCAGGCTCAGTTAGAAAATTTCAAATTTACCCACAACTTACACCTACTCGTGTATGATTAAAATGGTAGAAACATAATATACGCGTTTTAATTCATCTATGTTTGTGATTACACCAATTATTCATTCAAACAGCCAGGTGGTTGATAGATGAGGAAGAGTTTGTGTCCAAAGGGCCTCCTTTCACTCGATCATAACCCGAGCTTGCATTGTGTAAAACATCATTAAACGTGTCAGCATTTCCACCTATTTGCTGTTTGCACTGTCACCTTGTAGTCTGCAATTGCTATTCCTTCCAGTCTAATGGAAAGTATCGAAGTGATTTCAGGCGTTAAATAGACGAGGAAATCTTAGCGCCCAGTGAGTTGAAAAGACACTTTAGCCTGTTTGCAAACAGATTGACGGCGAATGGTGAATCAGGACTTGATGACAATTACATAACAAAGTGCAGCCGCTCTCAAAAATAAAACCCTTGTTTATTCATGTATCAGCTTGTTTTGTTTTCTAGCTAGTTATTTTATGCTTGGGAATGTAGTTTTTTAATTAAATTGTGCCTAAAATATCTTTATAAAAATTATTTATTTTCTGGTTTATGATTTTATCGTTTTTGACTTAAACCAACAATTAAATATGCACAAGCAGTCTAATATTGAGGAGAAGCGATCTTTATGTTCTTTGATCAGCTTTTTAAGCTACTGCCGAGATTATACATATCTTACGAGAGACTTTCAAATTAATCTATAGGGTACGCTGCCTGAGTTGGACGATTTCGCTGCACTGAAATTTAAGCACTGCCTGACTTGAGTAGACAATTTAACAAACCTACAAGCCGATTGAAGACTAGTGCTGACTTGGGAACTTGATAAACTTCGAATTCCGTAAAAGAGGAGCTATCCTCATATCTAAAACATTGCACGTCTACTTTGAATGCTTGCAATTTAACCAGTGCGTTTGTAACAGCACTTGGTGCCATAGCAGCCATCGTGAGCTGAACGGACAACAAACCTGACATGTCGCACACTGGCTGCCCCCGACTCATATCAGAAAGTCGCATAAGTGACATGTGGAAATGAATGCATCGGCGGTTTGGCTATTGAAAAACATTAGTGAGATGACCTGTTGTTAAATGAGGTGATTACGTGTTTAGGCGCCATGGCAGGGGATGGCGAGGCATTGACAAGCCGTTTTCTGTTTGTTGAACGTGACAATGCCCCTTGGGGGAGGGCGTGTAGCAACAAATACATCCATAACGCGTCAACACAAGCAAGTGCAATCCCTCAAGGAATATTGGGTACATAAAAGCATGGACGTTTCTGCTTTAGAACATTCTTGATTGAAGGTGGGTTGTACCAATGTAAATCCGCAGTTGTTTTGAAAATGTCCTCATCATGAAGCAATAATAGGCTATCGCTTTAAGATATTCATAATTAAAATCGCAGGTATGAAAGCCCGAGACATGAAACAGTGCCAAAGTAAACCACTACAACCCTGTCTGAGGATGCTCCACATACATTCATTGCCATCTGATAAAGTCATGGCTTGGTCTTCCAAACACTCCTTTACACATGACTCAAATTAGCCACTAAATACATATGTGTATGGGCATACGCATAAACAGTCTATTTGCACAGAGACCAGTGATTCACTTCTTTAAAACGTTTAGTATTTCCCTAATAGTCTGCCACGCGAAATAACATAGTGTGCGATGGGGGAGTCGTACTGATCCATGGCAGTAGCTTTAGTATAGATTTCGTCTTCGAAATATTTGACACACTGAATGGCATGATCCATTCCCGGGAAATGAATGTCCGATAAGTCGGGAGCTCCAGCAGTCCGCAGGATCCTGACAGTACTGATAAACAAAAAATGGCATTGACTTACATTCCACGAATGACTTCACTCCTTTGCTCTCTTGTCAATGTGAATTCACGGTCCAACTGCCCACCTTCCCTCTCAATTGGGTAGAAACGCTTCTCCAATGCATACTTCATGGGTTCACACACGGGACATTGTTGATCCTCACAACTGCAAAAATGGGAAGTAAGCTGTAGGGCGGGAGCACACTGAGGTAGTTTACAGTTTACCTCTGCAGTACAGTTCTCAATGTGTCGATACACATTGCAAATCTTGGGGCACTGTGGATCAGTGCAGGTTATGGGAGACTTCCGCACTGTGAGACACAATTCGGCGTGTAACAGGAGTCGAAGCTGTTCTTGAAGCATTCGTGTTTGCTCAACGCCGTCAGAATTCTCGGTGGTGTCGAACACTTCTGGAATAACCTCGAGATTTGCCATTGAACTAGAATAAAGAAAAAGCTTGAGTTACAAAGCGAAAAGACAATGTAAACAATAAGTGAATGAGAATACTGGGATATTTTACAATGCCCTACTCTACACAAGCTTCAGTTATAAAGAGCCACAAGGAAACCCTTCAGACACTAACTCCGTCGTTTCCAAAGCGTTGCTGACCCGACTGACTGAACGCGTGCACACTCGATGCACCCAAAACCGTAAGTAAGTTAAAACACAAATAGCATTTTTCTATTTTTTAAATCATGCATGAAGAGTAGGTGATTGTGGATAGACATAAAACTTTAATAATTGTGCTTGAATATGTTTAAAGCTGCTTTGTGGTGGATTAATTTCTAATGCGTGTACAGTAGACATGTAAGTATTAGTATTACTCGGATCGACTCATCTTCAAAAAACAGCTCACCCTTTTTTCTCTAAATCTTGAATAATAGTCTATTGTGGAATGGATAAATTGTTTCACCGTCCCAACAAGTTGATACCATGATGGAAGTGTTCTGACTAACCAAATATTTGCGTTGTAAGAAAATGAGAAGTACATCCCATAAGTGCACGAGTCCATACAGAACACGAACTTCTTACTAGTAGCAAGTAGCGGACTCGCATTTGGCTGAGCCTGTAAAATAGGTAAATGTGAAGAGGCACACCCTTTTACAAAACAGTCATTGCATCCTTCGCTGCAGTAATTCAATTGTGAATGAACCCTAGAATTTCCGCAATACTTTAATCGCAAATTTTTACTCCGCGTATTTGACTGGCACTCTTCCAATCGTAAAACTTCGGTTAATCTTAAAGCTCATTTTAAACAGAAAAAGGGCATGTAATAGTACAAGGTTTGCACACATATTCGAATGTATAAAGTTGACCAGTTACAGACGACTCACAAATTTCAAATGTTTAGCTGTCAGTGCGAATCATTGTCAAAAGTTTTCATCGAAATTCTTATTTAACTAACATGAATTGCCACGCCTTAAACCAGGTTTTAAGTAACGCGTAGCATTTTTGTTTGTGTTCCTTGAGGCAGACACATGCATAAATCAGCAAAGACCCTTCATACCAAATGTTATTGCCTTCACTCTTTGAGAGAACTCAGGATCATGAGTTCCCTAGATGCAATTAGTCCAGCCTCCTCATTTTCACGTAAATTTTGACGATGTAGGTGATAACTTGCCCTATTTATAAGAGCCAGAACTAATACTCGAGCAGCAGTCTCTTCCAATGGTCGTGTTGGCACAGAAGGTGGTTTCGACAGCACCCAATCCCTTCTGACTAGGCTGCTGCAGAACCAACCGATGACATAAATATTAACATTGAGGGAGTTCTCACCCATCTGAAAGATGGTGGCTTTCGATTCGTAGTTCATGCAAACAAAGATCTATTCAGAGTAAAAAGAGTTTTGAGGGATGTGCAGAAGGCCTTCCTTTTGCTTGACAAATTAAGATTAGCAGAGTATGGTGAGTGCCACAATTTGGTGCTACCTCAGAATCTGCTGAATTATGCACTCAAGCTTCTGATTTTCATCAGCAGCCATTCATCTGCGTCTACTTACGTGATAGGAGAAGGATCCAAAAATGTCGCTTACTACAGTCGCCAATGAACGCTAACACAGCACGACGCTACATCATTTTACTTTGTAAACTGAGACGGTTTCAAAGACTGCACATTGCACCAACTCAGTTGCATTGAGCCAAGGCCACCCCAGCCGATCCCAAAGAACCGGTCGAAGTCTGACACTACGAGCATGAATACCTCCTTTTCCCCCGTACAGCAATGTGTCAAGTTCTTCCTTCATACTAAGTGCCTTACGAATGCGTGTTTTCAGTGTCACCCAAGTGCGCGTTGATACTAAAGAATGGAATTTAAGAGCAAGGTTAGAAATATGAAGAGGAAATTAACTTAATCGTATCAATATGTGCAATACTAGAGAAGACAATTTTCGCCAGATTTTGACATCTGTTGCATACTTACCATTTGATGATAGAGTAAAGGTAATTTCCTATCTCGATGGCTAAAAAGTGCTTTGGTGAATCGTTAGGGTATCAGTTAGTGCACTCACGTTTACTACTCTTTTAGATGATATGATGAATTCAGTAGGCGAGCGTTGAAGTTAATGGAAAAACCAGCGCTCGTTTAGCTTACATAAACCGTTTCTCACAAGGCAAATGGCTAATGTCAGTTCTAACACGCAGATGCGCCCAACAGCCTCGCATCATCCTAATCAGCGACCTGGCTAGCCCATTTCTATTGTCAGTTTTATAGTATAGTGGAGTGAGTAGCCTCGTTGCTGCTTAGGCAATTGCAAATCAACGCCTCATTTTACCTTAATCAAAAATGTGGACCATGTCCGTGTCCTGTTTACAGTCTGTTCACGACAATGGTGCTGCAATCTGCCCTTTTCAAAGCACAGATAACAATGCTTTAGAGGAAGTTTGGCAAGGTGCTATAACAAAGATTCCCGAGGTCTTCCTGCTCATTTACTTCAAGTGCCTACTCATTATAGATAAATCATAAATTGTAACCTACAATGTCTTATTTACGTCTTGATCGTCCACTCAACAATCATTCAACAGCATTCAACTATTTTGGGTCCCTTAGAAGGTAAAGGAAAAGCCGCTAGTATCCAGCGTGCGCAGTTTCAGCAATTTCCACCGACTGATGCTTCCCTATTAGTCCGCTACGTATAGCAGCATATTATGTAGTGGGTAAGTCGAATTGATCCAAGGCACTTGCTTTAGCATTGATGTCGACTTCAAAACACTTAGCACAGTGAATAGCGCAGTCCATTGCCAGAAAAAATAAAAGTACGATAGGTCAGGAGCTGCAGCAGTACACAGAACCCTGACGACATTTATGGATGCAAAAAAAGCATTTACTTGCATTCCACAGATGATTTCACTCATTTGCTCCCTTGCTAATGCGAATTCACAGTTTGCCTGGTCATCTTCCCTCTCCATCGGATAAAATAGCCTCTCCAGCGCATACTTTATGAGTTCACAAGCTGGACACTGTTGATTTTGACAGATGTCAAAATGAGTAAAAAGGTGCCTTACGGAAGCACAGTGGGGCAGTTTGCTGTTCACTCTCCCTGCACAATTTGCAGTGTGGGTCGATACAGACTTTGGGAGGGGTCAACATTGGGAGACCATTCAGCGTGCAGTAGTTGTCAGAGGTGGTCTTGGAGTAAACGCGGCTGAGTAACACCATCGGAATTCATAGTAATATAGAAACTCTGAGATACACTTTAAGACATTTCATTAAACTGGGAAGAATAGAAAGCTACGACTACAAAGCGTTAGCAATGCCTGCAACAATGCAACTTACGCCATGTAAGTCTGAGTAGTAAACAGTTAAAAGGAAGGCTTTCAGACACAAACTCCGATGCTTCCAAAGCATCCTCAACCGACCATCTGAATGCCCATTCAAATAATCTGTGAAAGCCTGTGGGTAAACCAAAACGAATATATTATATCTGTATAATTTAATTCATACACTAGGAGGTGGTGGTTGTGGGTGGATTTGAAATAATAAAAACTAATTCCAAAAATGCTGAACACTGCTTTGTAGTGTATTAATCGTTAATATATATATTAAGTAAACGTCTGCGTACTACTAAAAAAATTAAATGCATTACAATTAGGTTTCTCGTACTTCAAAGGATGGGCAATTTTAGATGAATAAAATTCACATTTCTCTTCACACAGTTGATAGTGCGATGCATGTGCTTTCTCTAACCCTACCGTTGCTTTGTTGAAGCTTACAAATCAAATCTCATCAGTACTCAAGTTGGCATAAAATATGAGCCGCTTTCAAGTATCAAGCAGACATTTTGTATTGAGCAGAAGTTGGAAAATGTGAAGTAGTCAAGAGGGAGCTAGCATTCCCAGTTTCTGGATTCGCAGGTGTCCTCAGCTGTTTTCACTCGGAATGGCAATGCTGTGGATCGTAGCACTAGAAGCTGGTTACTAACCGACACTTTTGCAATTTATTCAGACATCTTACTCGGATCAAATGCTTTTACCTGTTTATGATTAGATCTTATAATATTGGATCCCCTTTCCGAAATTTGAAGGCAGTAGTATTCAATATTTTTGGCACAGTATTAAGCAGGTCCCAAAAGAGACATATTTTAAAGAAAATTTGCAAAAGAAGTTAAATTGCAAACAATAAAGCCCCTTTTAAGGGAACTTTCAACATCGATTATCATCGCCACCGTTGATGGGGTTCTTAGTTAAGTGTCAAATACGCATCATTTTCTGTATATCAGCTAACGAATGGAAAATATCGTGATGTTTAAAGTCATTTAATGGCAGAGCTACCCTTTGCAGAAAAAAATGTGACGCGTGAGAAAAAATGAGGAAAAATTATCGCGGAAGTGTCTTAAAATTATTCAAACCACAACCTTCGTAATTAACCATTGCCTGTTGTAGAGTGATTAGTGTAGCACCTTGAGACTTCTCTGAAGACAAAAGAAGGTATATTGCTCCTGCAGAATATGCATTTCGACCTACAGAAGGGTTTAGGGGTTACTGCTACTACTCAAAAGCTAGGCCGCTCGGAGGGGGCACAATGGAAGAGACCTTAAGGGACTCGCTGCCAAAACCGAGAGTTAAGAATACAACCAAGGCATCAAAGCAAGAATATAGGGCAATCCGAATTCGACAGCCTTGCAAAAATTAATAAACCCATTAGGCTGTTAGATAAGGGGATGGCTTTAAACTAGCTGAGGGGGTACTGATTGACGCCTTTCCGTCCAAGGGTTGCATAAAGGCAATCTACGACTAGCGCAGTTTTTGCACTTTTAGATTATCCAGTAAAAAGAAGATCATTGTGATATTTGGCTTTTCCGTCCCCAATACAATTCTTCATATGCCCAAATACAGGCCACATAATGCAACAAAAAGATAAATGGAAGGTGGGACTCACTTTACTCTTTTTGCAAATATTTAGGGTACAGCTGCAAGACATACTGTTGTTGATTAAGTTGATCAGATTAACTCCGTTACAGCCGTCAAATAAATTAAAATGATCACCATCAAAACTGCATCTGGAGCTATTTGCAGTACAGCTAGTGCTAAAACCGTTTACTTATAACTCTGGACTGGGTTAGGATAGGCTGATGTCTTCCAAATAAGTGCCAAAATTGCATACCGCTACCAAGTGCCAGAGAGAGACTCCCGTCACTCATCAAACACAACGACAAAATTCTCATTTCGCACTAGCTGCTTGTCAAACCTAGGCAAATAGTAAGCTGCGGAGATCCTCTGCGTTGCTGCTGAGCGAGTTTGTTGTCCCCAGTGGTAAGGGGCAGTCTTGTAGTCCTAAATTGCTTGTTTTATCATTCTCCAAGCAGAAATAAAGAATAGTTTAATAAATTCAAGAAATGAGACAGCACGAAGATTGAGCAATTCGTCAACCTTAATAATTGTCACTGCGTTCAAGAATTACAACTAACGTGGTCTTATCAGGGCAAACAATGCTTACCAAGGCAAAAAATGCCCCAACAAATGGATCATAACAATCGTCTATGTTTCATGATCAAGATAACTTTTATGTACTTTAAATATTCGTAAATAATCTAATAAGTTGTGGTCAAACGAGTTCGAGTGCAATTTTGAATCTAGGTGGATAATTTATCAGTTAAACCCGTCAATTATGAGACTTATTTGAGAGTGATATTTGTTTGCTTTGTATTAAACCAATTCATATGGTTTCCGGACATTCATCGTTACATTCTTCATGAAGCTATACGAAGGATGTCAGCATAATCTTAGAATTAAATCAAGGGTTACGCAGCCTCGCCTGGAGCATTTACTTTACTGATCTTTTATTTAATAAGTTCCTATGTACAATTGTACAAGGCACATTTCCTCTCCAAGCAGTAATGAGGGTAAGGTTCTTATTGAAAAGTATGCATTTATCTTGGGAGCAAGTCCAAAAAAAGCACACCTATTTGGCATTGGCAAAAATAGGTGAATTTGCGCCTTTCACTAAATACAAAGCATTCCATAATGTGGTATGTGAAACCTCTCATTCACTTGCTAATACCAAAAGCGTCGTCATCCTACAAATTAAAGGAGGGCGCGTCAAAGCCAAGTGAATGACTCCCTTTCCATCAAAATAGGTGCAGGCATGTACGAACCTAGCTTGAGATGGTTAGGGTTTATGAATGCATGAATGCTCAATTTATGTCAATTCAGACATGACACTTAAATGGGTTGATTTTGCCTCTTCTTATCCTGAACCTCCTTGTTAAGGGTATCAGTGTGGTATATTGCTACTAAAGTTAGTCCGTTCCGATTCGTGGCAAGAAAGTGCATAAAAGTCAGACTGCGTTTAGGCTTCCTTTTCCATGAGACGGCCAAACTACATTGAACAAACCCTCAATGTTGGGAGTAAGTCCTAACAACAAGCACATAAATCTGGCATTAGTGAACAGGTGAAGCTTGTGCCTTTCTCCCAGCATGCCATGATTACGGCTGTAATTAGAAGGTGCGTAGGCATCAAAAAAATCACATTAACCCTCTGTCTAGTGGTGCGGCCGCCATGAGAAATAGCGAGCATCGCCTCGACCCAACGCTACCGCTGAAGAATATATTGTGTCCCATGGATACAGTGCACAGACCCAAATTATCCAGTTTGTGAGGGTAGCTATCCATAAGCGGTTCTAGTTAAGGTGATGGTGACAGTTATATCTGACACTTTGTTTTATTGCGCCACATCACAAAGCATGGCAAATGTTTACACTGTGGTGCAATTTTACTTGCCAAACACCAGGTTGCACCCATTCGCGGAAAAGCGATCGTCTTCAGTCTATAATACTGTTATTTATTAAAAAGAGAGCAGTAGAAAATGGGTAATTTACAACTCCTTTCAATATTTGGTGAGACTTGGCATTCGATTGCGCGCTTAAATTACCTGTCACTTAAAAGGATTTGGCTTGAGCAGATGTCATTTAGAGTTACAACAAAGGTGCTGTATTATCAAAAACATGCAATAAATAGAACAGTAGATAATCCCCAAAGTGACATTGGTCACTGAAATTCAAACACACAGAAATCAGACAATAGGAATTAATTGTCTTCATTCTAGACGGTTGTGTATCAACGCAATAAGTATGTACACCCATTTTCATTTTTTTGGCAATATGCAAAGTCTTTTACCATTTCTTGCCTTCTTCATTCTCACCGATTGCAGGCACATGGAGCTTGGTGTTCAGGGGATACCAAAGAGCAGCAACATGCCAAATTGCAGCGTGCCTTAAATGCTGACTACCTTGACGCGTTTGGCCGCAATTAAGTTTTGCTAGGCTGATACTTGAAGGGGTGGATTGCTCAAAACTTGCTGTGGACACACCTAAAAAACAAAATTTGTTAAAATAATTAGGCTCCGTATAACAGCTGAATGTTTTTGTTCAGAATGGCTGACAGATAAGCAAAAATAAAAGTGCTACTTTTTCTCTTCAGTAAAAATGATGTTGGCTATGTTTGTACATAAAGGATTTGGATTAAGTGGTCCATGCTTAAATCGAAAGAACGGTAATCGTTGTTCGTTTGGTGCAAAATTGAACAAGATAGCAGAAGATGGATCACATATCTATAGAGGCGGATTATGAGATGATTATTTGTCTATCTGTAAAATAAACAATTCTTCAAATTTTATTGCATGTTTCCAATTCAGTACTTAGTTAAGAAGGAAATTATTGTCAAAAGGAGATCACTAATAATAACTCCTAAAATCGATGACATCGCTCAAGATCTACAGTTTTGCAGTGAATATCCTTCACGCCCTCAATGAGGCTTATAGTCAGTGTGAATTTCAGACAGTGTGCTTGTGTTCCAGCTAATGCTTATCAAGGTCTCGCTACCGTCATGGCCAAGATCCTCCTCTCAATGTCGTACAGTCATCATGCTACTTGGGGACTTATGGAAAAGTGTCTGGCATTCTCATGTACACTCTTTTTTTCCTCAGCATACATTTAACTCAACGCGCTCACATAATTTCAACTCCGTTCATGTACAGAGCTGCGCACCAGTGTTCAAAGTTCTCTACCTCCATGGATGGATTCTAAAAATCCGAACTTTTAAAACCCGAATACCTATTCAAAAATAGATGCTTAAATTATTCGATATCGCCTTTGTTTACTTTTGCACATCCAATACTGCCGATAGCCTAGGCTCGGTTGCATGACACGTCCAATTACTCTACAGTGTCCTATAATGCAAAACGTACTCAGGCAGTTGGCGCATTTGGGTGCAGAAAGAAGTTTTGCAGTTAATTAGGTGACGGGCGAAGTGCACCAGTATTGATGGTCCTCTCCGTAGGGATTAGTTGAGAGAGCGTGGACAGGGAGCACACTGCGAATATTGCAAACTGTACGGCAGGAGTGAACCGTA